CTGTGGAAAATATTAGATATAAGTGGGAGATAAAGGGTTCATCCCGTCCCAGTACCTGAATATATAAAATTTCTTAAAATAAAAAAAATTAAAGAAGGGGATAGTCAAATCTTATATTATTTAAACGTGGTGTGTTATGTCAGGTGAGCCTAGTAAAGGAATTAAGAAGTTTCCAAAACCTACGTTTGCCATTTTCGATTGTTTTCATCATTCATGATTTTCGAAAAATCTGGTTTGAGATGACCGATTTTCACTTCCTCTTTTGGGATATAATTAGTCACGTTTATCAGAGCCAACGAAGAAACTTAATAACAAAGAAGAAGAAGAATAACGTATATTATGATAATTTATACAAATTTTATTGTGATGGCTTCGTTTTCAAGTATGAATAAATATATAAATAAAATTTATATATTAATATAAATATTTAATAAAAATTTAAATATTAAATTAATAGATATATAATTTAATACGCATTCGGTATTAGAGATTTATGTTCCTAACTTAAAACTCGCTGTAAAGCGAGCTGATTCTACAATGAATCGGTAATCGGAAATCGTAAATTGACACTACAAGTTGGATATATTAATTTTCAGCGTTAGATGAAGATTATGCCCGGCTACGGTCCACTTGATGCTACGAATGCTTCGAAACATTTTTTGATTGCTCAGATAAAATTCTTTCTTCCGATTGGAAGTAAAAGTTTCGAAGAATTTATAACATTAAGTGGATCACACCTGAAATCAGACACTAGCGACAAAATTAATATTACGTGATTACACACATGCTGCTTTTTAGCGTCTCATGAAAGCACCAAGCCTGACAATTACACCAACTGACCCCAATAAATTTGTCGGGGTCACTTTGTATACACTTGTGCGGTGTATCGAGTCCAGACGAACATGTGACATTGGCGAGGAACTGCACCATTCAACCAACCGAACACACCAATTGCACTCGAAATATGCAGTCGGTGCGTCCCAAAATCATTATGAGTGCAAAAACGAAATGGAAATTATCAATGACCTAATTTCTACTGAAGATTTAATCCGGATTAGACTGTAAGAACCAACCAACTACAGTTGAGCATTCCCCTGCCGTTCGACTGTAACAGGGGAATACTCGACTGTTGGTTCTTACATTCTGATCCAGATTAAATCCTCGGTGGAAACTAGGCCAATTATATGTTTTATTAACAGTACAATAAAATATATTGGGGATTGTATGATTTAATCTGTTTTTAATACATTTTTATGGCAATTGTGTATAACAGCTTTATGTGCACTAATGTATCCCTATTCATTACACAATGGTCTTTATATACACCAGTGCATATTAGTCGAATCCTAGCCGAAATATTAAAGTCGTTTATTACCGAAATACTAAATTATATTATTTTTGTTCTTTTACTGATTTGAAAATCTTTTTCCAGTATACGCATTAATATGTGTCTGTAAGGAATCTATGCTAAGAACGATAAAAAATTTCGAAATTAGTATATTCTTTACCATTTCTTAATATACAATATGGCGCTCTAGAGCTGTCACGTCATGATAACATTTGCTTCCTATAAAAGTTATACAATCTATACTTACGAAATAGTAGTCCACAGACTAATAGTTTGCATGAAGAAACAACGTGGAGTTCTTAAAATTGGACTTAGACATCTAATTAATATTAATAACATAATTGTTATATGAATATTTTTGGGATCCCCTTAAGCTTAAATAATTCTATGTAAATTTGTATATACTATACAGGGTGTTTGATAATTCTGCCGATAACGTTCGTCGACAGATAGAGCGGACTAAACTGTCACAGAGCGAACTGTCAACTTTACAGAAAAACTGCAAGAAACAAAAAAATGTTTAATTTCTTCTTATAGAACTCTAAGAATTTTTTCAGAATTTTTTATCAACTATTTAGTACAGCATTTTCTTATTAGCAATTGTTTTTACCAACATGAGAAAATGCAGTAGTAAAAAATTCTGAAAAAAATTTCAGAATTTTATCAGAAGAAAATAAATAATTTTTGTCTTTCTGTTTTTCTAAAGTTTTTTTAAAGTTGGTAGTTCGAGTAAAAAATTATTGAAAATCAATATTTAATGATTTTTAATAAATATCTTGTTAACTATTGCGAAAATTGCAAAATCGGTATAAGATTTTTTGACTCAATTTAATCCGCTCTACCTGCTGATGAGCATTGTCAGAATTATCAAATACTCTGTATAGTATAATAGAGCTCGGAATACCCGAATATTCGAGTATCTGCCCGCCCGCTGTGTTACCCATGCACACAGATCTGGACCGATTCCGCGGATACCCGGTTAATTAGGGTACTCGCAGAATCGTGTACGATGGATATCCGAGGAATCGTGCGTAATATGAGTACCCGCCTCGGGTACCTGCTATATGCTAGATAATATTTATGCGTAATTTTATTAATTTTAAAGATTTGTGTTTTAGAATTGTTTGTAGAATTGTTTGTAGATTTCGTTTGTAGTTAATTAATTTAAATTATGTTATAAGTTTTAAAATATTCAATTACAAACGAAAGAAAATCTTTATAATTACGATTTTGAATCAAGATATATTAATTTTTTTTTACCTTAAAGTCGGGTCGACAGTTATTCTTTTAAAAATCTCTATTTTATTATGAGTTGAATTACAAACAATTACGAACGAAATACTATATATTATATTTATTTTATTGAAAACTTCATTTATTGAACAACAAAAAAATCCAATTAACCAGATCGATTAAGAGTCAGCATGATAATTATCAAATCATGTAATTTCAAAACCAACAAATGTAATCTTAAAACTTTATTCCAAAAAATATCTCGTACATTTTGATTCACTTTGGAACCATTCTCAGGAACACGAAAATATAACTCGTTTTATGTCCAAGAAAAAAACCACCATCATATTTACAGATTTGATGTTGTAAAATCTTATCGAAACATTATCAAAAATTATAAATAAAATATATTTCATATTAATACATCAATCAAGTTACAAACTGTTAAAATTAAAAACTGGTGATTCACCTCAAAACATAAAAAGAATTTATTTCAAATATTGGATCAAAATTATTACTTGAAAAATTAATTTGTAATCTCTAGACAATATGTTTTACATGTTAAACATATATTAATTGCAGTTTGACAGAAACAAGACTAATACATTTTATCTATCATAATAAATAAGAGGTCAGGTCAACAAGGAAAATAAAAAGGAAAAAAAGACAATGTCAATACATAAGTAATTATATAAAAATGGTCAAAATAAAATTATTTAATATCTTTTAATAATTGTATGTAACTGTGATGTACACCCTCTGTATCTGAGCGTAAATTTTATTGCATAAGTATACTCAGCATGCTGCATGAAGATACTCAGATATTAATCGTTTATTAAGAAAACTTTGCATTAAGATCGTCATTTTTCATCGTTTTTTAATTTTATACGATTTATATTTGATATTATTGCTGTTGACTTGATAAAACATTGGATCAAACATCACAAAAATATCATCAACAATAAGATAAGAATTAAATTCACTTAACATTGTATTAGTAATAATTTAGTACCACGATATTTATACTGTATATCTAATCGTAACATTAATTTATCTTACTTTAAATCTGTACATAAATTTAATTATTTTTAACAACAATTCACACAAAGAATGTTAAAGATAGAATTAAATGCATATAGGTCTATTGATTATGCTCGATGTCAGATTTTTCATATTCGTAGATAGATTCTTAAACATTCCTTTAAGCATTTGCAATTCGTTCTTTGAAAGACAAGAAGTCACATTTAAATGTATTGTAATTTAAAAAAGAAGTAATTATGGAAAATAAGTTAGATTGATTGAAGAAAAAACAGAATAAGAAGCTCCTTAATAACATTGTTCCTATTAAATATTATTTTGACGCGATGTTCAAACAATGAGGTATCCTAATCAGCAGATAATGTTTTTGAAAATGTTTTTAAGAATATTTAAAAAACATTTTTAAAAACAATAGGTTTAATCCCCCTTTTTTTTATTATTGAAAAAAACATTTATTGTAACAAAAGAAATTGGAAAGGACAAAAGTACTAGGAATCAGGCAGAAGACGTCGCGCAAATAAATAATACCCCTATAAGGCGTAAAACTTTTTTATTCTACTAAACGTGTTTACATGTTTCGGCTCAATTTTGAGTTCTAATCAGAGACAACACAAACTAACATAAATAAACTGCGAATAAAAATTATCCTGTCATGGAGCTCTCCTACCTCGAGAATTTAAATGCTAATTGAAAAGGATTTGATGAGGAAGATTGTAACGGGCTTATGTGCTTTATTGGAAAGAAGAAAAATATATATCTAATTCTACATATAGAAGTTTGTTATGTAATGATGGGATACTTCCGAAGGTCTATGTTCTTCTGAAGATACATGAGCAGGATTGTCCCTTTCGTATAACAGTTTCTTCGATAAAGAGCCCTTTGTTGACAGTGTTTCTTCATAATATTATCATTAAAACAATTCCTAAGGTGGATAGTCATGTCGAAAATAGCTTTAAACTTGTTAAGGAATTTGATAGTAGGCAGTTGAATAATGATGTTTAATTAATGTCATGTTAGCTTCTTCACTAACGTTCCCATTGACTGCGATGAATGCGATGGACTATGCTGTATCAAAGATCATTTTATTTCTAGAGATTGTTGTTTACCTGAAGAGGAATTCATCAAAGCGGTTCAGTTTGTTTTAGATTATACTTTCTTTATTTTTGATAGTGTTACATATAAGCAGAATTATGGTACTTATGGGTTCTCCGATATATCCTGTCATCGCGGATATAGTTATGCAAAATGTTGGAGAATAGAGCTTGGATTCGGTTTCCATTGCCTTTTTACTATAGGTATGTTGATGATATATTCATAGCGCTTGATTCTTCGGTTAGTTCTTGATATTTTTAATTCTCAGCATCCAAGGTTTCAGTTCATTATGGAAGTGGGAGGTGATAGAATGCATTTTTTGGATGTTACAGTGATTAAGGATAATGAAGTGATAGAGTTCTGGTATCACAAGCCGATCTTTTTGGGTAGATATTTGAACTTTTGGTCACAACACCCAGTTTCTCAAAAAATAGGTACAATCGGAATTAATTGATAGGGTGATTTTGCTTTCGAATCCTAAATTTCATTTTGATAATTTGTGCTTCATAATTAAAATATTGTTAGAGAATGATTATCCATTGAACTTTATATTTGAGAATATTAGCAAATGTTTGAAGAACTTATGAGTATTATTATACTTACTAATATTATTATGACTAGTAATAGGAAGAGTGTTGTTAATAGTGTAGTGCAACCTTTGTGATTCACTGTTCCTTTCGTTCGTGGTATTATTGAGAAGTTTGATAGATTAAATAGCGATCATATGAGAATATCGTTTTATAATATCAATAAATTGTGAGAATTAGGGTGCATAAAGATCCTTTACCGCGTGACAAGAAGTCGAATATTGTTTACAAAATTTCGTGTAAGAATTGCGACGCAAGCAATTATGTGGGGCAGACGTGCAGACAACTGAAATTAAGAATCACGGAGCATAAGAATCATATCCGATGGAACACATCTACTCATAATGTTATAAAGGAGCATCAGTTACAAGAAGGCCATGATTTCGATTGGATAGGACAACGTTATAATATTGGTCGAAGAACCTCGCTGGAAGGAAGAGATTGATTTCAGATATGTGATATTCATCAGGAGGCAGACACACGGACTTAATTTGCAGAAGGATATGGAGGGGCTTCCCAAGGCCTTACTTACCGATTATAGACAAGGCTATAAAAGATCGAATTGTTGTCGCGCCTAGCCAATCAGTGTCGCTCGTACAAGTCTTTCTGGCATGATTTTTAATTACTTTCCAACTTTCATTTTCATTAGCGAATTGATTAGCGTTTTAATGTTAAATTTTTCCATTTGTAATCTCGAATAATACTAGCTAAAACTAAAAGTGACTCACTATGTCTGATACTGACTGGCCAACATATCAAGAACCGATTTTTGAATTATTTATAATAATGTTTGCAATATAGTTTGTGATTTGTGATCATGGTGAGCGTCCTTATTTTCGAGATAATTAATTATAATCTCAAGTTTTTTGATAAATTAATTTTTCATATTCTCTATTTTGATATTTCCAATATTTCCTTGTTTTCATTTTTCTTTTTTTTTTTCATTCTTTTTAGATTTAATTCTGGCATTTAAATTCTCGAAGTAGGAAAGTTCACCATGACAGGATAATTTTTATTCACAATTTATTTATGTTATTATAGTTTGTGTTGTCTCTGAAGAGGGCTCAAAAATGAGCCAAAACATGTAAGCACGTTTAGTAAAATAAAAAAGTTTTACACTTTATAGGTGTATTATTTGCGCGACGTCTTCTGCGCTTGATCCCTTGTCCTTTCCAATTTTTTTTGATTTGTAAGGAGTTTTTGTTAGTTTAATTTGTTATACGAATTTATTATAACATTTGAAGAAATATTTCTTTAACGTTTAAAAAATGTTATTTTTTAAACGTGTATTAACGTTTGAAGAAACATTTCTTTTAACATTAAAAACTGTTTTTAATGTCAAAATTATTTGAACAAAATTAGAAAAAATAACAATATAGAATTTTTTTTAATTTATTTTTTTTTATCGACAGTGCCTAAATATTAGATAACTAACTTTAATAATTAATTTTAATTTTTAATTATATTTTAATTTTTTTCATTTACCGATCAGATTTTGAACCTGGGACTTCAGGATTATGAATTTTGTATTTTATCCGTCACATGTACATTATCACTTATAACTATTGATGCACACAATTCTTATTGTTCATATATGGTACACTAACGCAATTATATTGTGTTAACTTCTCTTCCGTGATTATTATTTCGACCTTTATTACTATATTAATTTGAGCTTTAGAAAATAATATTTTTTTCATATTTATAATAAACGTCAGATAAATGTTAAATAAATATTTTTTAAATCATATTTTAAATAAATAAATAACAAAAAAACAAACATTTATTAAATTTATTAATTTAACGTCATATAAATGTTCAAAAAAGATTTAATAAACATTAAACATGAAATAAATAAATTATTTCAAATAATTAATGTGAAATAAACATTTATTAAACGTTAAATAAACGTGAAATAAATATTTCGTATTACTACATTTTAAATGAATAAATAATGTAAAATAAACATTTTATAAACATTAAACAAACATTTAAAAAATATTTCTTTTAATCTTTATTTCAAATGAATAATTAATGTAAAATAAACATTTAATAAACATTAAATAAACGTTTAAAAATGTTTTTTCGAACTATTATTTCAAATGAATAATTAATGAATAATTAAATAATTTTTTTTTAATAAACATTAAATAAACGTTTAAAAAATATTTTTAAAAATTAATTATTTCAAATTAAAAATAAATTTAAAATAAACATTAAATAAACATTAACTAAACATTAAATTAATGAATTTTGGAAACGAATGAAAAATATGAAATATAAAATTATGAAAATGTGAAATAAACATTTTAAAAAACATCTATTAATTGAGATATTAATGAAGAAATTGAAAAGATTGACTCTCACTTTTCTTTCCACAATTTTAAGAATTTGACTAATCATAATAATTTAATTAAAATAGATGTTGAAGCTAAAGAATTTGCTCCAATAACTGACAACTCTTCTTTAAATAACATTAAAGAAGGATGATTTATTAACTTATCTTCAATCTCTTTTCCTAAAGAAGTATAATAATTGGAAGGATTTGCTTATTACAAGGAAGGTAATTTTTCCTTGTAATTTATCCTTTAGTAGTAATAAATTTTCATTGTTTGAATGCATTAAAGGCAAAATAATATAAAGAAATAATAGAAATAATATAATAGAAAATAATATAAAGAAATATAGCACTGAATAGGACTATGATTAGAGATATTTCATTATCGATTCTTAAGAAATTGCCATCTTTTTCTGTTACCAAAAATGAGATTAATACAAGGATTACACAATTATTTAAGGCCACTAAAAATTTTTTAAAACAAAATCTTAATGTCTTAACAAAGCATCTTAACAAAAACTGGAGGAGGAAGGAAAATATTATAGTTGCATTGAATAATAACGATTACAAATCTAAAGTCTTGCAGATACTTGTCTTGAAGATAAAGAAATTTACATATTAGGTGCACAACTTTGCTTCCGCCGTTTTCCTATAGATGGCTTTAGCGGTAAGTGGTGGAAATAAATAGATCATAGACGTCATACAATAAACTTGGGCATCTGTCAACTCCATAGAAACATTAGTCGATTTGTGTTTGCATCATAAAGTTATTCTCGATTGAAAATGTCAGTTTACGAGCCAAATTCTCGTCATTTGCGGGAGGTTTTAATTTTTTGCTTCAATATGAAAAAATCTGCGGCTGAGGCTCATCGAATGCTCTCAAATACTTACGCTATTAGTGAAAGAATGTGTCGTGAGTGGTTTCAACGCTTCAACGGTGATTTTGACGTCCAAGGTCATGCTCTGTATTTGGTGAAACCAGCTCGGCGTAGTGTATTATGAACTGTTAAAACCGACTGAAACAATCACAGGCGATCGGTATCGAACGCAATTGATGCGTTTGAGCCGAGCATTGAAAGACAAACGGCCGCAATACAACGAGAGACACGATAAAGTGATTTTGCAGCATGACAATGCTCGACCTCATGTTGCGAAAATGGTCAAGACATACTTGGAAACGTTGAAATGGGAAGTCCTACCTCACCCGCCGTATTTTCCAGACGTTGCTTCCTCTGACTATCACTTGTTTCAATGGCACACGGCCTGGCTGACCAGCACTTCCGGTCTTATGAAGAAGTAAAAAATTGGATCGATTCGTGGATAGCCTCAAAAGATGACCAGTTTTTTCGACGCGGGATTCGTACGCTAAAGATGGGAGAAAGTAATGGCCAGCGATGGACCAGCAATATGAATCATGAATGTATAATCAGTTTTTTACAATAAAGCCTCGAATTTCGGAAAAAAAACGGCGGAAGCAAAGTTGTACACTTAATAAAATTAAAAAAGATCCGATTAATAAATTAACCAATGATGTTCGAGATATGTTATTGAGATGGAAAAAGAATAATTTTATTAATGATTTAATGTACAAAAAAATTATATTTCTTTAGCGAAAGTATTCTCCCGAGAACGTATGTTTTACCTAAAATACATAAATTGGATTATCCATTCAGATTAATAATATAAAGAGTCCACTTTATACCTTGGCAACTTTCATTCATGACGTCATCTCAAAAAATATATCAAAATTGTTTTATAATATTGATAATAGTTTTCAATTGATTGACTTAAAAGGACACGTTTTGAAACTGAACATGTCTTAATTTCATGTTCCATCCTTGTTTATCAATATTCTTATTTGGCTATAGAGAGTATAGATAAGAGGTGCAATTTTTTGATGGATAAGGTCAAGATCTCGAAAGATGAATTTATGTTGGGAATACGGATGATATTTAATTCAACTTATTTTAGCTTTGATGAGCAGTTTTATTAAACAAAATTTTGGTAAAGTTTTATAAAAAATAATAAATAGAAAATTTTATAAAAAACTCTTATGGATTCGTTTCTCTCTCCAATTGTTGCTAATTTATGAGAGATTTGGAAACTAAGACTTTAGAGATTTTGGATTTTCAACTCTTGTTTTATTTTCATTATGTGGACGATATTGTTACAGCAGTTCCAAAAAATCTTGTTGATTTTACACTTCAGATTTTTAATTCATTACATGATAGATTAAAACTTTAGAATTTGGTGACAACAAAATGAATTTTTTGGATATTACTATTATTAATCAATTTGTTTTTACTAGTACAAATAAATTAAATAAATTTGATTAATGGACATAAAAACATTCTCCCAAAAGAAAAGAGAAAAAAATGTTGTGTATAAAATCTCATGTAAATTCTGCGATGCCTCATATGTTGGACAGAAAGAAAACTTAAAAACTAGATTGTCTGAGCATCGGAATCATATTAATCGAAATAATAACAATAAATCGGTGATCACAGAA